GCATACCTTGCCCTATTGGCGCCATGTCCTAACAGCGGCCCACTTTGGTTAGTTTCACGTGTAGCCTTCCAATGTTTCTTTAAGGTAACATCTACTGAGAGCACTGACTCTCCTTCAGGGAATCTTTCAAGGCATATCATATTCTTCTACATGAATTATGTCATTTAATCCTCACAACAGCCCCCAAAGTGTAGGTGCTGATATTATACCCCTCTTTCACAGAGAAGGAAACTGAAGCCCAGAGGCTTCCGATTGCTTCTGCTGCTGTAACATCCTGCCTGCGTTCATTCAGCAAGCAGAAGGGCCTGTCTCGGAAGTCAGCGTTCTTAACCACACGTCCCCTGCCTCCGGGTTAAGCGCAGGAGCAGGTGCTGACGGCTGCGGCACCCCGCGTTTTATGGCAGGCACTTCTTTCCTGGCTTGGGTCGCTGCCCTCCCGACTCTACAGTAACAAAGTAGACGCAGTCGCTCCCGAATCTCGGGTCTAGAGGAGCCCAGCACTAACGCCTGCCCCGCCCTCTGCTCTCTCCCCAGGACCGCCAGGAGAGCCTGCCCACCTCCCCGCCCTGGACGCCGGGCGCCTCCCGGCCCCCCAGCAGCCTGGACGGCTGGGTGAGCCCAGGGCCGTGGGAACCGGGCCGGGGGAGCAGCATGAGCAGCCCCCCGCCGCTCCCGCCGCCGCCGCCCATGTCGCCCTCGTGGAGCGAGCGCTCGGTATCCCCGCTGCGACCCGAGGCAGAGGCGCGGCCTCCCAGCCGCCAGCTGCAGGCCCTCCTGGCGCGAAACATCATCAACGCGGCCCGGCGCAAGAGCGCCTCCCCGCGGCCGGCGGGCGCCGAGAGCCTGCGGCCCTTCTCGCCGCCCGGGGCGCAGGCGCAGCCACCGCGGCCGCCGCCGCCGCCACCGCCGCGCCTGCGTTCGCCGCAGCCCGCCCGGCCGGGCCCGCCCGCCGCCGCTGCCCCCGGGGCCACGTTCTCCCCGATCCCGCGGAGCCCGCTGCCCGCCGGGCCCTCGCCCTGCGCCAGCCCCCGGAGCCCGCTGCCCGCGACGCCCCGGCCCTTCCCCTACCGCCGCTCGCCCACGGACTCGGACGTGTCCCTCGACTCCGAGGACTCCGGGGCTAAGTCGCCCGGCATCCTCGGCTACAACATCTGTCCCCGCGGGTGGAACGGCAGCTTGAGGCTCAAGCGTGGCAGCCTCCCCACCGAGGCCTCCTGCACCACCTAAAGCCTCCCCCGCTCCGGCTCCATCCCCACCCCGGGAGGGCTGGGCCAGAAGAAGAGTTGTGGGGCTTGGTAGATTCCAGCATCGCGTGCGGGGTGGGGGGGGGGGCCGGGTTGGAGGGGGTGATTGTGGGGGTTGGATGGAGGGTGAGGTCTGGCCGCTTTGGACGAGGGGTCAGGGGAGGAGTGCTCCGGGCTTGGGGCTGGGGTAGTGATCCAAACTTGGGTGTAGCCCTTACTCTGTCATTCAGTGATTGTGTGACCCTGGGTAAGACCCCTCCTCTGTCCGACCCTCAGCTTTCCTATCTGTTTAATGGGACTTTGGCCAAAACCATCTGCACAGGTCTAAATTCCCCTCCGCTCCTGTCAATACACATACAGACATGCACACACACCTGCTTCTAAAGAGTCAGGGTGTGGTGAATATGGACCCCTAGACTCACTCCAGTTCAGGGTTCCATACTCCTCCCTCCCTTCCTGGCTCTGCTGTCTGGAGTCTGGCAAATGAGGGGTGCTCACAAGATCCTAAGCCTACGTTCCCTATCCAGGCCCTGGCTTGACCATCCGCCTGCCTGGCACCAAGTCCCAGACGGAGCAGCTGTTTTCCACCCCTTCCCAGAGAAGCTCTATTTTTACCATGATGACCTTTAGAGAGGTCTTCCAGGCCAGCTCAAGGTGCCCTGCTGGCCCCTCAGGAGATAAGAGGTGGAAAGATTTCTCTTCCCAGATCCCTCATGCTTTTTCAGCCCCGGCTCAGACTGTTGGGGCCTCTTATGTGCCGCCAGAGGGGGAGAGCAGGAAGGTAATGGCTGACATCCCCGGCCCCAGGACTTGGGCCTCCAGGAATGCTGTAGGTGCCTCCAACCCACCTATCTCACCTGCGCCCTTTCATGGCAGGTTCCAGGCTCAACGCTGAGCTGGGGAGAGAGGAGTTGATAGGGAGCTATCTGCTCTCCTATGACTTTAACCGGTGGCCCTGAGTTTGAGGTTGCCCACTTGGAAAAGGGGAGGCAAGAGTTCCTTCTTATGGGAGGTATTCAAGCAGGAGCCAGGATGCATAGAGGAGATTCTAGTAGGAAATGGATTGGCTCAGATGACCTCTGAGGGCTCTTCCAGTCCTGAAATGCATTGCTTGATGTTAGGGAGGGAGGCAGATGGTGGTGGAGGATTGGCTGGGCAGAATTTGGGGGCAGATGGGCATGGGTGGGTGAGTGAGGGATTAGACTAGAGTCTGCCTGTGCTTTTTGTTCCTTGGGAAATACCCCATGCTTAAGTTAGGCTCCAGTATCCATATCATGCCCCGATGGCTGGACACTGTTCTGCCCCATCTCTTTCCTGTTACACTCCGGCCTAGCTTGTGCCTTGGGCCCAGTGACCCTGAGGAGCCTGGCTGCAGACTGGTCTGTCCGTTAGACGTGGGTGGTTCTCATTCCAGTCCCCAGGAGGGACATGGGAGGAATGCGGCTAAATTCTGTAGTTTCCAGAGTTGGCTGGTGGTGCCCTCTAAAGGTTCAGCTTCAGGGTACTAAGTGCAGAGGAGGGTGGGGGTGGGCCACTGGACTTGGCTGAGGATCAAAGAGATGTGGGAGAAAGGATACCAGGATGTTGCTAACAGTGAGGGACCGAGTGTGATTTGGGTATAGGGGTAGACTTACCCACCCATCAGGTGATGTTAGACCTGGAGCCCCTATGTAAGACTAGGGAAAGCTGGGCTCAGGGTCAGAGAAAGTTGGGTGGTGGTCTTTAGAATTAAGGAGTGATCCCAGAGGGTGCCTAGGGCCTAAGGCTTGGGAACACAGGCCCTGACAGTGGGAAGATAAGAGAGTGTTCCTGCTTGGTTGATGATGAGTGACCACATTGAAGTCCCCATCTGCTTCAGGGTTCCTAGTAGCACGGGAGACTGGGGCTAAGGGCCGTTTTCACAGAAGAGACCCTATCAGGCCACTGGTTAATAGAGGGGCATAGAAAATCCACTTCTGCCTGCATTTCCCTAAAGAGCCAGCAGGAGGCAGCCCTGGAAAGCTGCAGTTCTGCCTGGCTGTTCTCGCTGTCACCACCTTCCCCCCAACATCCTCCCCTCTAGCCCACTAGAGACTGCCTGTGTTCTGTCTCTTGCCTCCTGTAGAATTCATCTCTGGCCCTCAATAAATGCTTCCTGCATCCTTCCGCCTCCTGTGTCATTTTCAGCTGCGTCTAAAGCCCCTCCTTCTCCCCATGGATAGTCTGAAGGACTCTGCAGGGATGGGAATGTTTGACACAGGGGGAATGGGCGCCAGGCCGTAGATGAGGTCCCAGGGTTGAAGTCCTGATCCTGTCTTCTACTAACTGGGTGACCCTGAGCAAGCCCGCTGCGTAGCCAGCCTCAGCTTCCCTATCTGTGCAGGGTGAGCTGGGCAAGGTGGTATTGCCCTGGTCCTCCCTACAAGCCACTGTCACTGGAGCAGGCAGGGCCAAGCTGGGTCAGGGCCCAATGCTGTGGGTGAGATTCCTGCTGGCAGGTTGGGGCTCCATGCAGGAGGAAAGATCCCTACAAGTGATCCCATCTGAGTCCAGGTAACCACAATGAGCCTGGGACCCAGACCATCTGGAGTGCTCCTCACCTGATGGGGGTGTCCTTTGTCCCGAGAAGGGGACTGTGACCCCACTCCCGGGTGAGGCCAAGCCTGCCCTGAGAACATCCCTCGCCTTCCTCTCTAAAAGCTCAGGCCTAGCAGAGGCGGGGCACAGGAACCAAAGGGGCAGAGCATGGAGCTCCTGGAGTCCTCAGAGCCCCGGGTTCTTCCTAAGGACATGTCAGAAATACAGCCTTGGACAGTCAGTCCTGGCACATGGGGACAGGTGCTGCCCGCCCTGGACTGAGCGCACCCTTGCCAGCCCACGCTTCCCTGCAAGTGACCCAGTCTTTATCTTCAGCCAGAAGCACCCCCTCCCCGAGCACAATACCGCCCTGCCTACTGGCGATTCCCATCCCTGACACCTCAAATCAAGTTCATCCCAAACTGAGCTGAGAAGCCACTGCCACCCTAAGCTGTGCCCCCTCACCTTCCTCAGTCACTCAAGCCAGACTGGCCTTTCCCTCACTCTCCACATCTCATCTCGGAGCAGGACCTGGTGATTCCCCAGCTACCCCTCAGGTCCTCCTCCTCCTCCTCTCCATGGCCTCTGTCCCTGTCCCCTGCAGCCTCTCCTTCTCCCACCTGACCACAGTCACATCTTCCTGCCTCCAGGCTGGCCCCCTCCAACTCATTTTTCACCTGGCAGCCCAGAGATATATTCAGAAAATGCCAGCCTGACCACTCCATTCCACTGCTTTAAACTCTTCAGCAGTCCTTTCTAAAGCACACTTGCCTTTGGCAAAGCCTGCTATGATTCTGGCCCACCTGTCCAGCCTCAACTCTCCGCTCCAACCCATGTCTCGGCTCTGGGGCAAGTTCTGGCTCTGCTTGCGGACCCCTGATATTATTCCACACAACACGGCCTCTGCCCGCAAGGCCTGGGCCCCTCTGCCCACTGAACTCCCTCCCACTAACTAGCCTTCCAGGCCCAGATCAAGTGTCTCCTCTGGGAAGCGCCTTCCCCATCCCCCACCCCCCCACCCCTAAGGCAGAGCTGGTGGCACCCTCCCCTGGGTACTCCTAGAGCATTTCCCATCATGCATCGCAAAGGCTTATTTTGGGGTCTGACTTGGGCCTGGCGGAGCTCCTTGAGGACAGAGCCCTGCCTTATTTATCTTCCGTTCATCGGGACTCAGTGCAAGAAGGTGGAGGGAGAGAGGGAAGGAGGGAGCGGAAGGAAGAAATAAAGGCAGGAAAGAAGAAATGAACAAGTCAAGCAAGGATATCAGGGGAAAATTCATTGATTCATGCATCCATCCATCCATTCATTCATTCAACAAATAGCTGTTGAATTCCTATCAGGCCCCGTTCTAGGTATTAAGGATACAATTAGCAAGCTCAAGTGACTGGCAACTGACTCACCATTCCCAGGTGACTCTGGTGTGTGCATGTGTGTGTGCGTGCGTGTGTGCAAGCCCTTCCATCTGCAAGGGCCTGCTGCCGGGGCACCTGTCTTCCCCAGGGCTTGGTGCTTTTAGCATCTGTCCCTGGATCCTGTTGCAGCCCAAAATAAGGCTGTGAGCCTCAGCAAGGCAGCACCGATTCTTGATTCTCGTCTGCTGAGGCCAGAGCTGGCTGCAAAGGCGTGCGCCGCTCAGACTGGACCAAGGACCACCAGCACCTACAGGACCACTCAGCTCTCAGCTTCCCAACAGAGGTGTTAATCTTGAGGTCCTGACATTCCCTCCTGCACACTGTGGTCCCGCCACTCAGGTACCAGGATCCTAGGGGAGCTTGAGGAGCTATGGGGTGTGGGCAGAGGTGATGAGCCAGCTGTCAGAGCCCCAGCCCCCAAGCAGAGGAAGGGCCCTGCTAAGGGTCTGGGAGCTTGGGGCCTCCAGGAAACCTGGTGCCTAGTTTGGGAGGGGAGGGATTTAAGCTCTAGATCATTCTAGATTAAATGGGAAGGGATGGCTTGGATTCAAGGTGGGCAGAGGTAATGGCTCTGGGTGGGACTTCAAGGTCTTTAGGCTGCAGAGGGAAGCGGGGCCCCCGACAGTGGGATGAGCATGTCTGTAAGGGGAGTGTTTATCAAGAAACAGACCCATGCACTGTGGCCTCCTGAGTGGTCACAGTCGGAGTTCAGTTCATGGCCCTCACCCCAGATGCCTGCAGACACGCTCAGATCCGATTTGGTTTGTGGGGTGGGGGATTGTGGGTGCCCTGAAGCCCGTCTATGGATCCCATGATCTAGGCCAACCTTCTTATGCTACAGAGACACGTGAGGAATTGAGGCACAAACCTGGGGAGTGGCTTGCTCACAGTCACAGAGGAGGTCGGGGACAAGGATTAGACTCCAGGTTGCCCAACTCAGTGCCCCCTGCCCTGGGGCCGTGTGTGGGTGTGGTGTACAGATGGAGACAGACTGTTTCTTTCTAAAGGAAGGAGTGTAGAAAAACCTGGAAGCAAAGCACAGGGGTAGTCTGTCGGGAGACTCAAGAGCTCTGGCTTCTCTGCTTGGGGCAAGTTAGGGAATCTGCATTTGGAACCTGCAGGGGTTCTCTGGGGCTCTGGATCTCATTCTGTTTGCAAATCTCCTCCAAGGTCTCTGGAAAGTGTCATGAGGTGCAAATGGGGGAGGGGGGATGGAGGAGGAGATAGAGTAGGGGTGAGTGAGAGCACCCTGTAGGTCGGCTGAGGGATGGGGCATAGGGAAGGCGGTGATAGGTCTCTCGGCTTTCTTGGACCAGCCTATGCCCTCACGCCTCAGAGCCAAGTACTGGGGACAGAAGGACAGGACCAGCCTTGGAGACCCTAGCACAGCTCCAGCCTAACAACCCATCCTTTCTTCCCCTCCCTGATTTCAACCTCGTTCAGCCTCTGATTAGAGCTCATCTGCATCAGCGGGTGACATTTGTTTGAGATCCCCCATCTCCCCTGCCCCTCATCTCCCAGAGATTGCCCCCTGAAGAAAGAGTGACTCCCTGGCAACATGGGAAGCAGATTCGTGTGGCCTCTGGCACCTCCTCTTGCCTTCCCTGGACCTCAGTCTCCTCCTCTGTACACAGAGACCCCCCAAAGCCCTGTCCAGCTCAGACAGCCCTTCCTCGAGACTGGGGTGGGAGGGGCAAGGCAGTTCAGAGCTGAGGCTGGGTGTCCCAGGGACTGGGAGGACATCCGGGGAGGGGTGGAGGGGGGCTCGCCCATTCGCAAGCATCTCTCTTCCACAGGATGATCCCTAAGGAGCAGAAGGGCCCAGTGATGGCTGCCACAGATGACCTTGCTGGACCAGGTAAGGCGGACTCTGCCCTTGTGCGTTCTTCAGACCCCATCCTTTCCTGGTCTCAAAGTGTAGCCACTCGGGCCTGTTGGCCTGAGGCCTGGGCAGACAGGTGTGAGTTCCAGGTCAGCCCCAAGGGAGTGTTGTGGAATCTGCCACTTGGGTTGGGAAGCTTCCCGAAGTATTGGGAGGGGCCTTGCCCTGATGCCCACACACCCAGAGGCTGAGACTGAATGCCTTACACTGGGCCCTGGGCCTAACGAAGTCCTTACCTCAGCCCCAAATTGAGCATGAGGGCTCTGGTCCCAGTTCCAGCCTTAACTATGGTCCCAAGCTCTCCCGCTCCCCCCCCACAAGTGCCCTTGCTTCCTGTCACTGTGGGTCTCCCGGAGCCGCCCCCTTGGCAGGAGACAATTGTTAAGGGAGAATGGGGACAGGCTGGCCAAAGCAGACTCCCCAGTGTGACTCAGACCATTTCACTTGAAAGTTGGCTCACCCAATGAAGAAATCAGTTAAAATACATGTTTATCACCATATGAGACCCCCTCTGGAACTCCCGGCATAATTTTGGAGTCCGTTGATTTGGCCTACTTCAGAGCATTGCAAGTATCTTATTTTCAAAGAATTGTTTAGAAGATTTTACTTATTTATTTGGGAGGGTGATAGAGTGAGTGTGCACACAGAGGGCGAGGGAGAAGCAGAGCAGGGAGACTGACCTGGGGCTCGATCCCGGGACCTAACCTGAGTGGAAGGCAGACGCTTTACTGCCTGAGCCACGCAGGCTTGAAATGGGGATTTCAAGTATTTTAAAAACAAATTCAACCAGGTCAGAGCTTTCACCCTACAGTGCAAATGATAGTGAACGCTGCTGTTGGCTAAAAATGCAGATTCCCAGCATCTACCCCCAGGATCTCGATTCAGTGGACCTGAGGAGGGGGCGGGACATGCGCCTTTGAGACAAGTGCCCCGGGGGATTCTGGAGCACATGGACCGTACCCCGAGCTCCGACAGACTGTGCTGTAAGGACACCACTGCTGTTCTGCCCCATGCAGCTTCTAAGTATTTCATCCTCTTGTATGACTTCATATGGGAGTGGTCCTAACCTATTTCACGTGTTCTTGCCTCCTTTTGTGGGCATCAAGTTTCCTTTTTTTAAATTTCATGATTTTGGGTGCTAACATAAGCCAACTTTGTGAGGTATTGATGCTCTAACTAGAAGAAGCAGGCAATGTGTTCTCTTTTCCCTTGGCTAAGTAACTAATTAATTACAGTCCCCCAAGTGTGGGCACATATCATCTATGCCAGACTGGAAATGCATCCATTGTTGGCTGTTGCTAGGGTATTAACTCAAGACAATTTTGAAATTCAAGTACCATGACAAGACAGCCTCTGTAAGGTAATAATAACACAGACACCATGATTATGTACTTCCTCTGGGTCAGATCCTGTGCTAAGAGCTTCCCTGCTTCCTGTTATATAACCCTCACAACAATGCTGTACGTTAGCTATTGTTGTCCCCATTTTGGTGATGAGAAAGCCAAGGTTCAGGGGAGCTAGGCCATCCCATATCTAACAGTTGCTAGAGCTGAGATTGGATTCCAGATCTCTCTGTCTCCAGAGTAGCTTCTTGACTGCACGATGGTGCAAAATAATACATCCCTTTCATAAGATATTCAGACAAAACAGATGTGAATGACTTTGAAAGTGAAAGTCCCTCATAACGGGACCATCTGGAGATAACCACAGTTAGCATGTCTGTGTAACTCCGTCTTCCGTTCATATATAAACGCATTTATACAAATGCACGTGCACGTGGGCTGAGTACTATACGCGTGCTCTGCAGCTCACCTTTTCCTTCACTTAGCAGCCTAGCGGGGACTCCCTCCCGTGCTGGTATGCTGTCTCTCCCCGACCCTTGCCCTCCCAAAGCATGCATCCTGTTAAGTATACTGATACACTCCCTCTCCTGGCGGTCACGCAGGCTCATCTCGGGTTGGACCCGGAGGAGCAAAGCTGAGCATTCTCACAAGAGTGACTTACTGAGGTCACGCCCTCAGGAAAAGGGAAATGATGGAAGCAGGATAGGGCAGGGGAAATGGCTCAGCAAGCATGTGGGCTCAGCTGTTGGCCCAGGTTCGGCCTGATCCCGCAGGGGCTCCAGAGCCTGAGTGGCTCCGCAGAATTCATCCTGTCCTGAGCTTCGGGGCCCTGAGCCCTTCTGCTCAGTGGGGGCAGTGCTCAGCAGAAGAGGGCACTTGGGACCCTGAGCCGCAGATGAAGGGCATCTGGGCAGCACCCCCACAACACGGTGGTGTGGTTTTCACAAGCTGAACCCTCAGTGCTATCAACAACCGTCTCTATCTTCAGGCATGTTTATTCGACTTTTCTCCCTAAGAATGAGTGCCTAGAAATGGAACTGTTTTATCAGATAGATTTTATCTATAACTTTTTTTTTTAATATTGAGCTCAATTCATCTGGTAGTATCCGAAAATCTGATACTAGGGGACTTTTTATTATGTATTTAGATATAGTCTTTCATGCTTTCAGTAGGCAGTATCTTTCATTGTTTAAAAAAAAAAAAAATAGTGCAATTTCCAGCCCTCCTCTTCCTACGTCCCGTAAATAGTCACTATTGATACTCAGCGTATCTCCGCGCAGATTTTTCAAAGCATGCATAAACATATAGTACTTGTTTTTCTAAATAAATGAGTGGGATCTTAGAATGCAGATTCTTCTGAAACTTAACTTTTTCCCTCTTAACCTACGATGGATCTCCTTCTGTCCCTACCATGCAGGAGGTTCTCTCTATTTGCTGAAAGAATAAAAAAAATCATCAGCCTCCTTTTTTAAAAGCCTGTCTGGATTCCATTGACTGGACTGAACCACAGCACCAGCATGCCCCCACCCCCCACCACATGCTGCCTGGCAGCCCTGTCCATCTCCTTGTCCCATATAACTTGCTTAGAGGATGGTGGCAACCTTTGTCCCCAAACTCCCAATGCCTCCTCCCCCCTCCTCCTTCTCAGCAGATGACCTTTTTTCCTATTGCACTGAGAAGAGTGAGGGGACCAAAAGAGTCCAGTGCAAGCTCCCTCCTCCCCACCTGGCTTTCTCAGTTCTCCTTCCCCTTCCCCTTGTGGAGGAGGACCTCTCCCTGTCCATACCCTCCCCTCCCCTCCCTTCGCCTCTGTCCTGCTCCAGTACAGTCTTCCAGTCCTGGAGTCTGCCCTCTCTCTATTGCATTGTCAAAATTTCCCATCAGCTAAAAAACATGCTTTTATTTCTCCCTCTTAAAAACAAACACCTCTTGATTCTGCCGCTGCCTCGGTCCCGTGGAGCGCAACTCCTCAAAGCTGTTGTCTACGCTTTCTCGCCTCCCCTCTCTCCCTAATATTTTATTAAGCTCACTTCCAAACACACAAAAATAGAGAGTGCAAATCCCCATGGTCCTCCCTTCGTTCCTGGAGCCCAAAGCAAAACCCAAAGAGCTTGTCGTTTCATCCCCTCGACACTTCAGGATGCACCGAAAATAATGAAGAGGACGTTTCCTTACATACCTCGAAGATGTTAGTACCCTGAACAAAATTAGCAATTTCGATTTAATACCAGCTAATGACCAGTCCCACAGTCAACTTTCTCCAATTTTCTAGTTTGTGTTAATGAGGCTCCAAGAAGGACCACTGTTTATCTGGTGGCCGGGTCTCTTCAATCTCCTTGAATCTGTACATCCCATACCTGCCCCCCCCCCCCCCCCCTTTTTTTCTTTTTTTTCCCAGGTCACTTATTCCTTTAAAGAACCCAGGCCAGCTGCCCTATAAAATACTTCACATTCTAGATTTGGTTCACTGCTTCCTCGAGGTATGGTTAGAATGTCCTTCTGTCCATTTTCTCTTAACACTTTCCAAGAAGGTTTTCACACCCAAATACTCCATAGAAACTACTTTTGTGAAGATGACCAATAATAAGGCCCTGACACTATGGAGGACGGTCAGTTTTCGGCTCTGTGAGCCCCCCATCTTCCCCAAAATGCTTTTATCACTTGGTTTCCAGGGCACCACTCTCTGGCTTTCCTCCTGCCTCACTGGGCGCCCCTTCCCAGGCTCCGTGGCTGGTTCTTCAGCTCCTGGGTCTGGGCGCCAGAGCCCCGGGGCTCAGGCTTCCGATCTCTTTCTCCCTCACATCCCTGGTGATCTCATTCAGGCTCCCGACTCTAAACACCATTTATAGAGCTGGAACACGAACCTCGGTGTATCCGATTTTAGAGGTGGACAACTCTGGCCATGCTGTCCACACGTATCCTTTTCCTACCGGTGTCCTCACCCCTCTGTCACCCCTTTCCTCCCAGAGCCTCCCCTTGTTGGGAAGTGGGTCAAAGTGGGTGTATTGACAGCGGGGGATGGACACAAAGGATATGGATGGGTTCCAAAACTACTAAGAATAGCCATCAGTCCTGGAAACCCTCTATGTGGCTATCATAATGAGTCCTCACTCTGAGAAAAGAAAGAAATGTAATGGTCTTCATCAAACAACAACAACAAAAACCATTTGTAAGCTCACGATGCCCCCAGTTTTTACCTCAGGTCAGTTTCTCCCATGAGCAGGACGCTCCCATATCTGGCTCCCTCTGTCTCTGCTTCTCTACTTTGGCATTTGCAAGGTTCTTCAAACCTTCTATGCCCAGTTCTGCAGGCGATTAGGGGAATTTGAATATGGATTAGGTATTGTATAAAACAAAACAAAAAAAAAATGTGTCCACTTGCCCAGGTAGATATCTTTAACTGATAAAAGCAAGTTATAAAGCATGTATAACTATGACTTCATTTTGGCTGAAAACTCCTACATGGTTATATAGTCTTTTTCTGATAAAACTTATTTATTTTGGAGCGCCTGGGTGGCTCAGTCAGTTGGGCGACTGCCTTCAGCTCGGGTCATGACTCTGGAGTCCAGGGATCGAGTCCCACGTCGGGCTCCCTGCTCAGTGGGGCATCTGCTTCTCCCTCTGACCTTCTCCCCTCTCATGCTCTCTCTCTCGCTCTCTCTCAAATAAGTAAATTAAATTAAATTTAAAAATTATTTATTTTATTTTAGAGAGAGAGAGAGAAAGCATGTGAGGGCTCTATCGCAGGACCCTGAGATCATGATCTGAACTGAAATCAAGCATCAGACACCCAGACACCCAGGTGCCCCTCACATACGAATATATAGTCTTTGAAAAAGATATGAATGGATATACATTAAGGTGTTAAAAGTAGCAACCTCTGGGAGATAGAAATGGTATTTTTCTCTGTTCCCCTTATATCTGTATTTTCTAACTTCCTTCAATGTATATATATACACGCTATTTTTAAAATAATAAAAGGCTATTTTAAAATGGAAAGAACACATGTGTAACCCTGAGCTCCTGATCTTTCCCCATCTCATCCTCCTCCAGCCCTCCCCATCTCAGTGAGTGGCTGCTCCCAGGATGAGGACAGAGTGGCTCAGGCCAGAAACCCCGGCCCCCTTCCCCAGCAGAGCTTGCTCCCCTGGCTTACCTTTAGAAGAGTGTCTAGAATCTGACCATTTCCCATGACTCCAACCACTGTGGGCAAAGAACTGCAGAGGAAATTCATGGAATAAATACAAATGGCCAAAGAACATCTATCTGAAATGGAGCTCAGTTTCACTGAGTGTCAAACACATGCAAATTAAGCTCTGAGGCGTCATTTCTGCCTACCAGGTAGGCAGAGTCCCCAGAACAGTGACTCCCAGTGTCAGCAAACGTGGGGAGGAACCGGCATTCTCATACACCCTGGCAAGCGCTCGGAGGCCGATGCCCTCAGAGGCAGGCAGCCCCGAGGGCCCTGAGGGTTTGGCGGTAAGAGCTCACTCTGGCCTCTCTGGGCAGCCCCTCTGCTGGACCTGGGCAAGAAGCTGAGCGTGCCCCAGGACTTGATGATGGAAGAGCTCTCGCTACGCAACAACAGAGGATCCCTCCTCTTCCAGAAGAGACAGCGCCGGGTACAGAGATTCACCTTTGAGTATGCAGCCAGCCCGAGGATGGTGAGTCCATCCCATTGCGCTTCTAAGGGAACTGAGGCCCAGAGAGGGCCAGTGGTTAGCCTAAAGCCAATCAGGGAGCCAGATGATGATGTCTGGCCCCTGGGGAGTCCCTCCAGCTCCAGCTCCAGCTGGAAAGGCTGTGATGTTCCTATCAGATTGAGCCCCCGACTTGCTGTGTGATTCTAGAAAAGCAGTATCTCCCCTCAGATGCAAAACATGAAGTGGAAGGGGCAGGGCAAGCTGTAGGAGGGAAGGGATTCTGGCTCCTATCAAAAGAGCTCTGCGCTGAATTTGCAGTGAGCAGGATTTAGATTAGATTTGAGCTTGCCCTTAGAGAGAAAACACAAAACTCTTTCTCTTCGTGCCCCTAGCAGTAGGAAAAGGCCCGAAAACCGTCTGCCAGTAGTGACAAGAATGGCTTATCCTCAGGCTTCAAAAACTCAGCAGGCAGTTTCAGTTACTTGAAATGAACTCACACTCTGCTCAGTTTCTGGACTCAACAGAGGGTGACTGAGAGGGGATGATGTGGCAGAATGCAGAACAGTAAAGACAATAAAACACCTACTTGCTAGCCAAGCAATTCATGTGTATCATCTCATTTAAGGCTCATACAGCCCTATAAGCTAGAGAGTATCAACACTAATCCCATTTTATAGATAAGGAAACTGACACTCAAGAAGTTTATGTGCCCAAGGTCAATTTTAGAATAGCAACTAACATACAGAGAGCATTTCTCTGTTCCAGGCACTGGGATTAGCACCCTATGTTATTAATTCATCCCCTCACCATCCCTGAGATGTGGGCACTGAGATGATGCACCTCCCCCCCTTTTTTGGTGGAGGGAGAACCCTGGTCCTTTCCCGCACTGAGCCTCCCTGAGGTCTATTTGCCCCCACAGATCGTGGATGGAAGTGCCAAGGGGAAGGTGTTGGGGTCGAAGGTGACAGGATCAGCAGAGCTGGGGACGGTGAGTGTACAGGGAGGGGAGCCCCTGTAAGAGGGGAAGTTGGGGGAAGGGGCCAAGCAGCTCTGAGCAGCAGTCCTTGGCTTCTGAGCACCCACCCCTGTGCCCAGGTTGCCAACGGCCCTGAGGGGCAGAACTGCCGCTCTGAGCTCCACATCTTCCCAGCCTCATCCCAGGGCCCTGAGGATGCCCAGCCTGCAGCTTTCCCCACGGAGCGCGCCTGCAGCCCCAGCACCCTGGCACCAGGTGAGGGCCTCCCCAGGTCCTGGGACCGGGGCTGTGGGACCAGATCCTGGCAGTGCTCCACCATGGGGCAGGAACCAGTGCCCAAAGAGCATCTAGTTTACCTCCCGCATGGACCCCCACACTCCTCCACAGACCTAACACAAGCCCGGAGAGGTGCAGCAATGTGCCCAAGGTCACACACCGAGCCAGAGTCTACACCCCAACTTGAAATTCCCCTGCTCCAGTCCTCCTTGCTTCCAGGGATGGGGAAGGATTGGTCCACTTTGCCGGAGCAACTTTGGTGTTATATTCCCCCTGCCTCCCATCCCAGCTCCAGGCTTCCCTCCCCCAACCGTATCTGTGGGGTGGACAGGAGTGGGGGCTGAGGGGAAAAAAAGAACTCAGCCACCTCCCTCTGCCACCACCTGCCCTCCATGAGCCCTGCTCCATTTCCAGGCTATGCCGAGCCACTGAAGGGTGTCCCGCCAGAGAAGTTCAACCACACGGCCATCCCCAAGGGCTACCGCTGTCCTTGGCAGGAGTTCATCAGCTACCGGGACTACCAGAGCGATGGCAGAAGTCACACCCCCAGCCTTGCCCAGCATCGAAATTTCAACAAGTAAGGCAGGGGGCGGGGGCAGCTTGGGGATAAATCGTTAGGCTGTGCAGGTACCCATCACAGCATGGCAGGGGCTGCATTTCCTGAGCCCTTTCACATGCCAAGCTCTATTGGAACACTTTCCCATGGATTGAGCTCTTGCTAGAACTCAATCGAATGCTTACCTCGAAACAGAGTAGGTGCTCAAGAAATGTACAGGCAATGAATGGGTGAATGTGCCACACATCTTGTTGATTTCTCCACACAACAGGGCCGGGAAATGCTGCATTTTTTTTCCTATTCTGCCAGTGAAGGGACCCACTCAGGAACAACAGCACCTGCCCAAAGTCACGAAACAACGAGGCGGCGGGTGCGGGGTCCAAGTCTGTGTTTGTCTGACTCCAGACCCCAGTTTCTTATTTCCTCCCTGTTGTGTGCCCTCTCTTTGATGCATGTGCCTCTGGGTGGTGCCCCTATCTCATCAGTCCTAGATCAGCTCAGCCTTCTCCTTACTTTCCTCAAAGGTCTAGAGAAGGTCTAGAGATGGCTTTGAAGTGTATCAAAGTGGGGAGTGGCGGAGAAACATCGGCCGCCAGATGTGAGAGCCACAGAGGAGCGGCTGTACTATTTAGAGCCTGGGGTCTCAATGTGGGCTTACATGCATTACATGCTTATCTCATGTGGGCTTACATGCTTACAGGCGAGGACTCCTCGCCTCACTGTGTGACCTTGAGCAAGTGACTTAACCGCTCTGAGCCTCTACTTCCCCATCTGTAACAGGAGTCCATTACAGTATCTACTTTGTAAGACTGTCACGAGGATGGCATGAGAAGCCATAGGCAAAGTTTCTACCAAGTAATGAGCTCTCAATAAACAGGAGCTATTAGTATTAGTATTGGTATTGTTTACAGGCTGAAATAATGGCTGGGAAAGCTAATAGGGAGAACTGGAAAGGGATAAATTTGGTGTTCTGCCCCAGGGGCCCAAAGAGAAATCCTAGGAGTCAAGACAGAAGCCTGGCCCTGGAGGAAGGCTTTGGGCTGGGGGATGCATTTCACCTGCAGTTGTCTTTCTTGAACTGATGCTATTTCTGAGAAATGCTCCTCTGGCCTGGGTGGCATTAAGTGAGAAAGAGGAGGGCCCACAGGAGGCGGCCATGGTCCAGCTTTTCTGGCACCTGCTCAGACCACATGCGAGACTGTTGGACACCCGGAGATGATGAGCCCTGAGAAGAGACTACTCAGAAGGGAGGGGACTCCCCTCAAACAGCTGATAGCCAGGGAGGGCCCCCATGGGAAGAACCGTGCCCAATAGGCACCATGGGAGCCATGAGCCATTGGCATGCATTCTGGGGTTTCTGCCAGGCCAAACTGTGTTCTCTTTCCCCCTGGGGCCCTCAGCCCCTACCTGTGAGGCTATGTACCCTCAAAAGACATTGAGTCCTGGGTACTGGCTTCCAGGCTGGCCCCATCCTTCTCAGGCTGCAACTAGGACAAGAGGAAACACATTCCCATCAGCAGGAGGAGGGCTTTAGAATGTCCTCAGCTCAGGCCCCCTTTGAGACAGAAGAGCCAACTGAGGCCGAGACAGGGGTGAGCAACAGTGTAAGTGGCCAAGCTGCGTTAAGGATCCAGGGCTCTGGGCTTCCAGACAAGGGCTGGATCATGAGGCCTGTGCAGCTTGGAAACTGCCCAGCCTGTTCTCGCAGGGGCTGGCTGTTGCCGCCATAGCCGGGGTGGTCTGGGCAGACCCACTTTCCTGGCTGGAGCCCAGGCCCTGGCCCGAGGCCTGCCTTTCTACCCCAGGGGCAAGCACTCCCCCATTCCCACTGCTCCCAGGCTTCAAGGAAAGCACTACATGAGCAATGCTTTTTAAGTTTTTTTTTAGATGACAAAATAGTTTAAAATAACATACTTATATTCTCTTACACACACGCGCGCACGCACGCACACACACACACACACACACACACGAACGTGCACACACAGGCAACTACAAATAAAGAGAGGGCCCTCTGTTCACCATCCTCTAGTCCCAGTTCCCTTCCCAAATTCCCAAAGGTAACACTGTGGTCAGGTTGGTGCGTCCGTTTTCAGGTCATTTTCTCCCAGCAGTTCCAGTCCTATAGTGAATGGCATTGTTTTATATGTATGTGTGCGTTTTAATACTTTGTATCTCATTCTGTAACTTGCTTGCCTTTTTGATCTTTTGAAATCTATCCTACTCAACATGAACAGATCTTTTCATTCCCTTTAAGCGGCTGTATGGTATTCCGCCACGTGAACACACGTCTGTCTTATCGGTGTTCTGCCCGTGGACATCCGGGCTGTTTCTGGTTTGCAGCCACGCGCTGCTGATGCCCGTTTCTTTTTGCTGTGCATGCACATGCTTTCCTAGGCCCTGTGCCTACAGGTGCAATTGCTGGTTCACAGAGTTCACACATTTTTTAGATTGAAAAGATCCTGCAAGTTGTCCAAGGTAGGAGCACTAATTTACCCTCTAACCAGCGGTATCTGAGTGAAACTTTGCCCACCATCTCACCAAATTTGCCGCATTATCAAATTATTTCTTCTCACTAGTCTTACAGGTGAGAAGTAGTGTGTCTGTTATCATGTCCGTCTCTGGATTCTCCGTGCTCTTTCTAACCCTCTCTTCCCTCTCTGGCCTGGGTGTATATTGTCCTGAGGGGAGATGAGCAGAGGAAGGAAAAACCCCATTCCAGCTCTACTGCCTTCCGGAACTTACTTAAGAGGAAACTAGAGTTTTGCCTGGGACTAGCCAATTCTATCTTTGAAAATTTCATGCCTATTCCCAAGCACCAAGCCATCCCCACTAGAGACAGGCTAAGGAACAGGCAGAGCTGCAGAAACCTGTCAAAGATAATGCAAAGCCTTGCCATATATAGGTGGGGAAACTAAGGCCTAGAAGGAGGTAGGGAGGGGCCCCCACATGGTGACCTGCATGTCAGCGGTCTGCTATCCAGTGCTCTCCCACACAGTCTACTTCCCCTGCTGCTTTTCTCTCCCCAGGACCCCGGTGCCCTTTGGAGGACCCCTGGTGGGGGAGACTATTCCCAGAGCAGGCACCCCCTTCGCCCCGGAGCTCATCAGTGGCTTGGAACTCCTTCGCCTCAGACCCAGCTTCAACAGAGTGGCGCAGGGCTGGGTCCGCAACCTCCCTGAGTCTGAGGAGCTGTAGCCCCAGCCCGAAAATTCAATTCCCCTGTCTTGGTGTCTGGGTAACATCTTGGAGTCAAGACTTCTGGATGGCACTTCCCAGTTTATGAAGGGGCTCTTCACACACAAAACCTTATTACAAATGGCCTCCACGGCCACAAAGTTTAGTATTCCCCGGATGGGGTGTGTTTCAGAATTTCCTGGGGATGGTGATTTGCGTACAGATTTCTGGCCTGCCCTAGACTTGGAGCATTCAAATCTCCTGAGTTGGGGAATTTCTATTAGTAACCACACTCCCAGATGATTCCAGTGAAACTTGTTCATGGTCTGTGTCTTTCGGCATCCGAGCCACCAGTGAATTCACATCCATGCCTCCCCTCCTTCCTGCCACGGACACCAGCTTATACTCCCCCGACCAGGCGGCTTGCTAGTGGCTGGTTAACCTATGGAGAACTCTGATAATCAGAAAGATTTCCTTGCATTGAGATGCAGGTCTAAACATTTGCTAAGTACGTACTGTGTGCTGAACACCCTGCCAGCCCGGGGGGAGTGTGTGGCGAGTACGCCCAGGCCCGACCTAGAGGAGAGAGGGCAGTCAGGAAGGCAGATTCGTAAGCAGTAATTCGTGTTCATTTCCCTGACAGCACACTGCCTGCCGACAGAGGAAGAAAGTGCCATGGTGGGGGGGATGTGCCCCCTGGGGATGGGGTGGGATTCCAGGAACCTTCTCAGAGACTTTGAGTGGGACCCCAGAGGAGGAGTGAGAGCCACTGAGGGCAAAGGGGGTAATGGAGAGGGCATTCCTGCCCAATGAACCAGCATGTGCAAAGTGAGGAATTGCGCACAGGAGGAGGAGGTTATGTTCTGGAGAAAGGAGGGGCTGTGTTAGAGGGTCAGTGAGGGCCAGTTTTGGGGTTTCTTTACTAAGGAGAAGGGGGCAGGTTTTAAGCTGGGGAGTGATGGGTCTTGCTATGTGGCAAGATTGGGCAGGACTAAGACCAGAGGCCAGGAAGCCTGCAGGAAAGAAGGTCTAGACTTGGGTGATGGCCGTGGGGATGGAAAGAAGGGGCACCCCTCACCCCTCTGGGCACCTTATAGGTCAGCTGCAGTGTGGGGTACATGTAAGGCCCCCTTCTTTCTTTTCCCCTTCCACTCACCATCTTGTGCAAGCCTCAGGGTAAAACTCGTCCTGGTCTCTGCCGGCGCTAGTTGAGGACTGTATCCAGTTGCTAGGAAAGGAGAGAAAGGAATGCCTCTTAGTTCAACTGATGAGGAAGAGGACAATGACAATGTTGGTAGTGGCGGCTCCTTTTTATTGGGTGCCTCAGTGCTTGGGCTGGTAGTAGGGTCCCACATATCCTATTTCTTATTTTCAGTTCAACCCTGAGGGAAAGGTATTGTCCCATTTTACAGGATATGCCTATCCGGGCTCGAAAGAAGTGGCTTATTCAGGGCCAGAGCCAAAATGGGAATGTCTAGTTCCAGTGGCTGTCCCTTTTTGCCACACTGGGTGGCCAGGCCAATGTCCACTCACTCTGGAACCATCTAAGCACGGTGTCCTGCCTCAGGGTTTTGAAGTGAAAAGTGCAGGTTGGGAAGTGAGGCTGGATGGGGTGGGCTCCAACTTCTACTGCTAGCCATGTGAACTTGAGCAAGTCATTTCTCATTGGGAGGCGTCCATCCCTCTACCTGTAAGCTGAGGACAAGGCCAGAAGCCTCTGGATAGGGCAGTGGTGAGCACAGTGATGGACGCATACCTAAGAAGCCCTTAGTCGTTATTAGATTTCGTACAGCTCCTGCTCTTGCCTGGGAAAGATGTTCCTGTTCTTAAAAGCTGGCTGCAAGATGTCAGTGGGGTCAGCAAAGCTTAAGCCGGAAGGAAAGCCTCTGATTACTGTTGGGCTCCCTGCGGACGTGGACGTGGAATTACCTCCCTCTGCCTTCTCCCTGGCTCCCTCTCTTGGGGAGATGAGAAGGTGAGAAATTCAGCTAGTTCCAGAATGCCTGGGGTAGTGATTATATTTCCCTTTGGTTCTGGACTTTCACTGCACCCCACACCATCTCCAGGGCCCAGCAGCCTATTAAACTTGCCTGCCATTGATGTGTTGTCTTGAACTGGGGGCAGGGGTGCTGTTGAAAGCCACATCTGCATGAGCTGGAAACCATCTGTGAAAGTGTCTGACCCATAGAAGAGAGGATCTGGACTCCCCCTCCCTGGACTGGCTATGCTGTATTCTAGATGGTGATGGCCACCACCAGCTACAGGAGAGGAGAGACTGCTGCACCTGAAAGCAAATCCACATTCTTTCTTCTGATGATGTGACTTTTGCTGATGTTGCTTTAAAAAAAAAAAAGGAATGCTTATTATCTAAATAAACAAATAAGTAAAATGTGGAAGGATTGGACCACATAGCTTCTCCTGTGTTCATAGACTTTCCCAGCCTTCTGCATTCGACCTCATCCCCATATACTGGAGGTAACCACGGGTGACAGTTTGGAGCTTCTAGACTTCTAGGAAGCCTTGATTAAATATGTAGTGCATAAAGGTGCAGAGGTGCAAAACTACATCTTTGTTTAATGAAATCATACCTTTTGTACCATTCTGTACTTTGCATCTTTATTCAACAACAAGTGAAACATGGATCCTGAAAAAGCAGAGCATTAACCTTTCATGTAATTTGTGGGCCTAGCGAGCCCTTCATATAAAATCCTGTTCTTGGCCTGTTCATATAAAATTCTATGCTTTTGCCTATTCTGTCTGTTCCTTACCTAAATGAAGTTGTATGGTGATATGGAAGCGAAAAGGACTGAGACCAGTCAGGATGTTGAGAAAGTGGACACGCACTACGGCAGCGACGAGCGGAGAGGAGCTGGGTTTCACGTAACAGCGCGGTCACAGCGCAGGCACAAATGGGCACACACGGGAAGGTGGATACAAACACGTATGTGTGTGTTGCAGGGAAGTGTTCACATAAAAGTCAGGATGGGGTTAACTTTGGGAGGAAAGAAAGGGGGGGGTGACTGTGAAGGGATAAAGTGCTCCTGGGGAAAGCTGGACAATTTCTGTTGCTGGATCTGGGTGATGGTTACAGGGGTTCACTCTAGAGTATTAAATTTAGTTGTACATCTGTATTTTATGCACTGGTTCTATACATGTGTTATATTTTACCAAAACAATCCCACCTTTTAAAAAGTGAATGGACAAATCAGTAACAGATCAGATGTATCTGATGAGGGAATTAGTGAACGAGAAGTGCCCACAATGTTTCACGGAGAGGTGAGGAAACCAAGAGTATGAGAGAGAAATCAAAAGACGTGGAGAATAAAATGAAAGCGTCTGACAGTACTGACAGGAATTCCAGAAGATGCTTTAGGATGACTGGGTTTTCTCCAGATTTGGTAAAAGGCACAAATTCACACGATCCTCACCCTGTCGTGAAAAGGGATATTAAATCCACACTTAAGAACCACTTTTTTGAGGGAAGCCTGGAAGGCTCAGTTCATTGAGCAGATGTGCCTCTGCCTTCAGCTCAGATCCTGATCTCAGGGGCCTGGGATCAAGCCCCAAGGGCTCCCTGCTCAGCGGGGAGTCTGCTTCTCCCTCTCCCCCTCCCACTTCCCCACTTGTGTTAGCACTGATGTTCTCTTTCTCTTTCTCTCAAATACAATCTTAAAAAAAAAAAAAACCCACTGTATTGAAATTGCAGAACTCCAAAGTCACAGAGAAATTTCAAGAAAGTTGAAATTACCTACAAGTTACCCAGATGAAAAAGCTAGATCATCTACAAAAGAACGACATTTCAAATGACAGCAATAATAGAAAAATATCTTCAAAATATCTTCAAGAGGTGAGAGCAAAATAAATTCATTTTCAGACAAATAAATAGTGTGAGAATTTCCCACTAACTCCTGAAAGAACAAAAGAACATGCTTTAGGAAGGATCCAGGAAAAAAGTGTAGAATCTAAGAAGCAATGGTGAGCACAGAGATCAATTCTATAAACAGCAGGAATGATGGAATAAGAAGCAATTAAAGGGACACAAATTAAAGTATAAATACATTTAAATATCTCAGTTATCATAATGTAAATGTATACAGCTCAGCAATTTAAAGACTCTCCAGTTTGGGTAAAAAGTAATTCCAGCTCTATGCTTTTCACAATAGCACTCTTAAAAATACGACCTGGAGGTAAACTAGAGAAATGGAAAAGGATAAAGAGTTAGATGTTGTCCCGGAGAAATGCGATCTAATCTAGTTGTATTAACAAAAGACAAGGGGACTTCCTGGCAAAGGGACTTCCTTCCAAGGGGACTTTATTGTGATAAAGAGGATCCTTACATAATGATAAGCCCATAGTCATAGTGGAAGATTTAACACAGTTCTTTCAATTATTGATCAGACAGAGTAAGGATATAGGAAATTTGTACAATAAGATGAAAATATGGAATCTGCACCACCAAATTAGAGAATATTCATTATTTTCAAGTACTATGAAACACTTCATAAAATAAACATACAAAATTTAAAACTTTTGTGCATCAAAGGATCCTTTTTTTTTAATGTTCAACTAGCCAACATCATTAGTTTTTGATGTAGTGTTCAACAATTCAAAAGTTGCGTATAACACCCAGTGCTCATCATCACACATGTCCTCCTTAATACCCATCACCCTGTTACCCCTCCTCCCACCCCTGTCCTCTCTGAAACCCTGTTTCCTGGAGTCCAGAGTCTCATGGTTTGTCTCCCTCTCTGATTTCTTCCCCTTCAGTTTTCCCTCCTTCCCCTGTGGTCTTCCACGCTATTCCTTATGTTCCACATATGAATGAAACCATACAATAATTGTCTTTCTCTGCTTAACTTATTTCACTCAGCATAATCCCCTCCAGTTCCATCCATGTCGATGTAAATGGTGGGTATTCATCCTTTCTGAAGGCTGAATAATACTCCAATGTATATATGAACCACATCTTTATCCATTCATCTGTTGAAGGGCATCTTGGCTCCTTCCACAGTTTGGCTATT